TTTTATAAAGGATTCACACAAGTTTCTTCTTTTCACTCACACGAAGAAGCTTACAACACACCACTCTACACTCTTTCTACTGATCCAACACAAGAACACACGCTTAAAAGCATCAGAATCTTTCTCACCTTTCACCAGGATTTTGTTAATGAACAAACTGGAAGTGGTACGCTCCAATCCCGCACATACACTACTCGAAATGTGACATAAATAACAGTTCTCATGAGAACAACTCCAGTTTGGGCACAGGACTTCCAAATTCTTAGTTTGGGACCACTCAATGGGCGCTTAAGGGCCCATAGCCCGGTGCCAAGGCGCCGGATGCACTGACTACGTGGAAGCCAGTCTGCTTGCTGTTCATGGGTGCTACAATCAGACTCCACAACTAACAAGATTATTCTCTTGCCCTTTATTTAACACGAGAGAGGCAGAGAGAATGAGAGAATGGAGGCAGCATGGGTGCTACAATCAGACTCCACAACGAGAGAGGCAGAGAGAATGAGAGAATGGAGGCAGTGAGAGAAAAGGATGGCGTGAGAGACGCTGGAAGAATAAATCAAAGAAGAAAGAAGGAAGAAAAAGTAGAAGGAAGAAGAGGGGAGAGAAAATGTGCGGCTTATCTTTCGTGCGTCGTTGATGGTTTAAGATGCAATGAGCAAACATGAAGGGAAGGAGATTGAGCGATGATCTCTGTAGTTGTTTGAGCCAAACATGAGCGTGAGAGGGAAGAAATTGAGCCTTTCTCGTGCATCTGTTTCTTGTGTAAGGGAGAAGGAAGATCAAAACTTCTTCTACCCTGACTGAGTAAATGTGAAGGAGGAAAAGATCATGCGGATCACAGGAACGTTTGATTGAGCGATTTTGAGCTCTAGAAGCAGGAATTAACTTTTCTTGCATGCGTTTGATGCTCGATCGAGCACTCACTAGCTTTGATCGACAAAAATGTTAAACTAGCAAGAGAAAGATGATTTTCATGCTTATGTAAGTAATTTCAAATATATATATATATATAACTATTAAGGGTTTCAATGTTTGATGTTTTATGAGAAATTAGTAGAAATTTGAGAAAAACCTAAAACTGAATTTAATTAAATTGTATCAAGGTTTATGATAGGTCTTTCGAGTGGTGATTGGAATAAGAAAAAGGAGTTGCGTTGCGGGGACTAAATTTAGGTATGAAATTCAATGTTATTCTTTAATTGCTAGTTTTTTTTGTTGAAGTAATGCAATGTTAAATTTAAAATTTAACAATGCTATTTAAAAATATTAAGTTGCTCTTATTGCAAGCATCCCGACATAAATTTTGAAATATCATCTAATCATCAATTGAAAAATTAATTTCTTCAAATGAGATATTTTAATATTTATATATATATTAAAATAAATTATTGAAATAACTTTATCATAAGCAAGATATGTTCCTAAACACTTAATTAGATACTTTAAATATAGCTAGTTTAGTAGATAAATATTAAATGACTTAAATTTAGTAAAAAAAAAAGAAATGTAAAGTTAGGAAATTTCACTAAAGAGATTAGAAATGAATCAATAATAATTAAGTTTGAATTATTCTTATAAGTGCTCTATAGGATTAGATTGATCTAAGGACTAGAACTTCAGAGTGTATATGTGGATAAATACATTTTTTATTTTGCAATGGTTCGTTTTTACTATTTTTTAACTTTTCTTTTAAAATGCAAAAGTTTATATTTTTTTAAAATGTTAAACACAAGAAAATAAATATAATATAATATATGCATTCATATGGGAAACACTCATGGGTGGTACTGACAAGAGAATGCAATGTACTCGTGCATGAAAATGAAAGTGAAAATGATTATCTATCGTTATGGTGGGTTGAAAAAGATTAAATGTATATTTTTTAAAGTATATATTTAGATGGTGACTCATAATAAAAAAAAAATGTAACAAAAATAAATAAATTAAATACAAATTTATTTTATTTACTGTTCATTTAATGCACACCGTCTTTCACTATTATTGTACTTTTACAAAATATTTTAAAATGAGAATTATTGTAATTTGGAAATATTTGTTTGTAGGGTAGTTCAACTCAAATATTCAGTTACTAACAATTTACAAGAAAACTAACTTTAGGCTAGATGGATTCTAGAGAATATGTGTATAGGGGCTGAGAAGCACAGACTAATAGGTACTATATGTTAGTTTTTATTTTTTGTCAGTTGTAAATATTTAAAAAGATGTACGAACTGATTATAACTTTTAATTTCATAAATAGAATGACTCTTGTATTTTGAATTTCATTTTAATTATGAAATGAAACTGTTTGATAGTTTTCCTCTATTCTACGGACAATTCCTGCTTTAGTAATTCCATGCTATCAAGTCGGACCGTAACATTAGATGTTTTTCTGAGTGTACCATTGTTGTTAGTTTTTTGTGGTTGAATTCTCCCTGTAAGATGTGACAGTTATCCTTGAAATGTGTATTTTGCGTTATACATAAAAAAGAGGTTCAAAAAGTACAAAAAGAATAAAAAGTACAAAAGTCCTTAAACTTGTGCAAAAGAGGCCCTGTTTTTTGTAGAAAATGACAAAAAGCTTTGACGATTCAAAGACTATCAAAATATGTGGTGCTCATCTGGTAAAGTTGTTGCTCCATTTTTTAAGTTTGGGTTTGCACATCTTTTTCGTAATGACTGTATCACTCATTTCATCTGGGACCAAATAATGATCCCATCTTTTTCTTCACGTTGGCGTAAGTGCTTCAAATTTTGCCATAAAAAATGCACTCCTCTTTAACTTACCGGCGGTTAGTTTTAACATTATGTATGGTGGGACATCCTGATACTCAAAAAAAGTTTCACATTTTGGAGCCATTCGATGAACTCGTACGGATCTAAGGGTTGTCAAAATATGACAAATCCACCTTGACTTTGAATACTGATTTCTCAGATATTTTAAGTCAAATCTTCGGAGTTGAGGTTATTTAACTATGAAATCTCTAATAGACATTATCTCTCGACCTTCTCTGAAATCATAACTTAAAGCGTTGTGGCCTGTCTTTTTTCTACTGAAATTATCACTGCTGGAGGGATTCAGGTGTTCCTTCATCTCTTTACGGATTCAGGACCTCTCCCTGGGTCCTTTCCTATATTTCATTGAGCTTCTGTGGCACTTGGTGGAGTTGCCGCTGTTTCTATTCCATAGTGAACTTCTGATCAACTTCTGTATATTTCCTCCTTGATGGTATGATTCGATTTTGAGCATGGGTCGGTGGAAGATGTGCAGAGGTGATCTATGGTGGAAAAGAGAAATTTAGGTGGAGGTAGGGGTGGGGTTTGGATGTATGCTAGAAACCCTATGATGGGAGTAGAGTTAAGCTTGCTCTGATATCAATTGATTCTAGAGTTAACCCAAAGCATAAGAGAAAAAAAATATTATTGTTAAAAGCAAATAGGAGGTTACAACTAGCGCGCTTGAAAGCGAAGCCACAATAATATGTCACACTAGAGCTCGATCCATGGATGGTGGAGGTCGGCTGGGTGGTGTGGGAGCGGAAGTGGGTGGCTTAAATGGGTTTTGGGTGGTTGGGACAGCAAAATGAGGGGCTGGAATTGCTTTGGAGGCAAAGCAGAGGGTTGGGACATCAAGCGGCAGCAAAGAGGAAGGGCTAAGGAGTGCAGGACATCTAGATGAGTGCTTTCTGGTGCTGGGGCAGCAAGCTGGGACTGCAGGGACAATAGGATAGGCTGTAGTTCAGTGGAAACAAGTCAGAATAATGGTTGGATAACAGAGAAATAGTAGATTTGCTATTTCCTGATGGCAACAGCAAGGATCGATCACTGGAAGGGACGACAATGTGTGGAGGTGGCAGTTATTGGCTGGAGTTGCAGTAAGACAGAGAATCCTGTTCAGTGGTTTCAACAGTGAGGAAATACGGCAGCGACAATATGTAGAGGGATGCAGAGGATGGAAAAGTCCTAGATCAATACTCCACGAGAACGAGCTACAGTCAAAGCACCACTCGATCCATTTGAAGGAGATCACCACCTCAGATGAGTTATAGTCGGAGGACTACTCGCCGTTAGATATAGCCCTAAAAGAGAGAAAGAGGATGTCGACAACTGTCTTGAGCAGAAACAAGACCAAAACTTCAAACCTAAACATAGGAATCACATATATAAGCCTTACGTAATCAGGATTGTGCCCATTGTTGAAATGAGGTGTCAAATTCACGTCAGGTTGGTCGACCCTCAATTCGTTATTCTGAACTAGTCCCAGTTCGCTAGATAGCTTCTTGTTCTGTCTGGGTCTCGGAATTGGTTCGCGGTGCTGCAGCAGATGACGGGAGACGTCTCCGTGGGCAGCTCACATGTCATTATTAGATCAATCTATATTTTGGCTTGTATCCTTCAAAAGGATGATAAATATCTTTTGTTTTCTTCTTAATGATGCTTTTCAGATGCTTAATTCAATTTTGGTTTATGAAGATACTCCTTTTATGCTAATTTCAATTTTTTTTTGAGTCGTGTGCTGCTTGTTTTTTATTTTTCTATGAGATCATGCCTTTAAATATTTTTTTTTAAATTTTTATTGGAGATATTCTTAAACCATTTCAGCACCAGTGCTTATTAATTTTGAAGTACTAGTTGCATCTCATAAACGCAAGTTACAGAAAGCACATAGGTAGCTAGAATATGTAGTTCGTAAGCTATTGTTTTAGTTTATAAATGTTTAATGACCAAGGTTTACTGGAGACACACCTTTTGAAAAATGTATCTAGCATGCACTTTGCTGGTTCGACAATTTTTCTTTTTTAATATTTTATATGATTCCTTGTAAATCTCAAGTTTTCCTATATGGAAAACAACTCAGAATTTTTTAAGATTTTTAAGTGCTTTAAAAAATGTTATTTACCACAGTTTGGTAGGTATATCTTCTGAACAGCTTGGAAATTTATTTAACCATTCAACTCTTTATATTTAATTTTTCTGATAAACTTTGTTGTTTTTCATAGGTTGTTGCATCTGGAGTGGATGAACGCACGCTCAAGCGAGAAGGGGTTTGTGCTGCATCATTGCCAACCACCATGGTGAGGAAATTTTTTCTTATTGTTTGTGGTTTTTTACATCCTTTTCGGAAAAAAAAAAAGTCAGAGTAAATTTTTTGCTTTATGAATTAATTGAATAAATAGAGATCGAGAATCTCATATTAACAGTTATGGCAAGCTAATTTTGTTGGTCATTGGTAGGGCTGTTAGTAGTCTGGGCCGGCTTAGCTTGTCGTGATCCGGTTCGGGGTTTCGAGTTAATCAAGCCAAGAACAAACGGTCGGACGGTGAAAATTAATTTACTACTATTCTAATTCTATCACTAATAATTTAATTTTCAAATAATACATAAAAGAGCCACTAAATAAAGTAATTAAAATTAACAAATAAAAATTTATACATTTCCTTTTGTTGTTTTGAACTTCTATACACATTTACTACTTTTCTATACATCTTGTTCAAATGTTTAAAACTTAAAATAATATTAAAGTAATTGAATGTGTTATGTAAAGATAATTCTAGAGTAATCACACTTCTAAACTACAATAATTTAATGAAAAAATACAATATATATACATGTTTATAAGAAATTATATAATATGTCGGTCTTTTTTAATGAAAAAATACAATATACATGCATGTTTATAAGAAATTATATAATATGTCGGTCTTTCATATTTATTTACAAGCAATCTGATATATATTTATAAATAATTTGATATATGCTAATACATGCATCATTGATGTTCTCTAAACGAACATAATCAATATTCTATAAGCATATACTTTAACTTTACTTTTACTTTATAATTTACCTACACAACTGTCTCTATGAGGATTACCGTCAACAAGCCTAACACATCATTGGCCGATATTGCTCTGTCGACTCCCGTTGGCACAACCGTTAGCCATATACACATTGCAAGTGTATAGGGTGAAAAGACCCATACTTGCCCCTAGCCGATATTATCATGTTGGCACAATGATTAACAATGTAAACATCAGATATGTTTTGGAAGTAAGCTTTAGTCTACTCGCCCTCTGACTGATATTATCCTATCAGCATAACGGTTAGTGAACTATCACAATTGTCTGGGGTGATAGAAAAACTCTACGTACGCGGGCACACTGACATCCCTTGTCTATACCATTAGGGGGTAAAATCTTTCCTTGAGCATGCACATGCAATCATTCACATTTAAAATATTTCATTCTTCATGTATACATTATTCAGAAACATTTCTATGCAATTTGCTAACATTCATAATTCTCTTTTGTGCAACTATTTATCATGCATATCTTTTATATCATTATATATCTATCTCATACATATATCTTTTATACATGCCTATCTTGGATTATTTTACATGAGTTTTAACGGAGTCAACCTATGACGATCTTTTGCACGCTTGACTCAAACTCGTCGCCTCACATAACCAACCTGAAATCTTTAACAAATTAGGAATTCATAATATATTAGTTTATTAGGTCATTTAGCTTAAAAGATCACTGATTTGCCAAAATATATCTTAAATGGCTTTCTCGATGACCAATCCTTCACCTAAGCTGCCAAATTTACTTTCTATCACCTCCAACCACACTTCTCCAGTTGATGTTCTGCTAGATCCCTTTTGGAAGCTCGCAAAAGATGTTCGACGCTTTTGACACACAATCGACACCTCTGATGGCTATAGGAAAAAAAAAAAACACGGAAAACGAGGAAAGACTCAAAATCAGGAAAAAAAAACACGGAAAACGAGGAAAGACTCAAAATGAAAGTGCAAGAAATAAAATGAATGTCTCAATTAGCGTGCAATAGGAATTCACACTTACAAAATTTGTCCCGGAGCCCTAAATCTTGAGTTGCAATCTTCCTTTGTGCCGCTTGCCTCTCTTCTAGTCCGTAACCTTTTCATTGTAGCAAGGGTCGCGGGCTGTACTTCTTTGGAACAACAACAGTCGTGTGAGAGAAGAGAGGTGGAGGGGAGGAGAGCCGTGTGACGAAATAGAGAGGGAAGATGAGGAATGTGGATTTCCCTGATTTGACACCATTCACGAGAACAGTAACAATGCAAGATTAATAATTTAATTATGTTAAACTTATAACTTCAAAGTTTTTTTTTTCTCAATCTATTCATAATCAACATATGATGCTTTATATGGAATTGATTGGTTTTTTCATTTAGAATTTATAAAATTATTTTGATTGAAATCCGAGGGATACGAAAATTGAGGTACATTTTCGATCGTCGAAATTTATCAAATTTCTCAAAAATTGAGTATAACATAGCTTGTCAGTGTGACCTTCTAAAGGTCATAGGGGTGGCCTACTGCGTATGGGCTTAAATGGACAAACCCTTGGGCTCAGAGCTAGCCCTTAAGCCCATTATTTTAAAGTCTGCTAAGGTAGTTGCTGACCATTTTGCGACTTAACAATGAAAAATAAATGATGCCAATGCTTATAAATATAACTACATTCTTATCAGTTGATTTATTTATCTCTTGTTTGTGTTATGCCTCAAAAATGTAGTTGTTTCACTAATTTTTATACTGCTCGAATTAAATTTTTATTATGCCATTGTAAACTAAAAAATAATTCAATTTTAGCCAAAGTTGGTTTAAATTTGACTAAAAATCAAGTGAATTTTTGAATTAGTGTATATTAAAAGAGTGTTGTATTATATTACAAGTGACAGTAAATGGACTTTAACAGATAAACCGCCAAAGCCCATTATAAATTTGGGCTGCTGCAACCATTATAAATTTGGGCTGCTGCAATTCCTTGGGCGGTTTTGGATGATTAGATAAATATGTTTAAAATGGATTGGATTTGTCCATTTGACATCTATATTTTTTAAGGAGAGTAAATGTTGTAATGGCGGGTTATATCCATGCGTCTGAAATCTCGGGAATCTAATACCTGTTTCGACAACCAAGGAAAATGTTTTATACAAACAAATAGTCTAAACTTTTTTTTGGGAAATTATAGTTACTTTATGCACAATAAATAATTTGAATATGAAATGTTTTCTAGTGAAGTAATAACAGTAAAAAAAGATAGTATTTATTTTAGCACTAAGTTACATTTTGTTTTTGCAAGATAATTGATGAAGGATTTATGCTCAAATAATTTAAAACAAATTTATTATTTTGTTTGTTGGTTGTGCTGAGCCAATGATGAAGTTATGGAGGAATGTGGTTAGTGAAAAATAGGAAGTAGTTGCGGAGTAGGGAATTTTTTTTAATAGGGACACAAATTAATGTTTTTTTTTTAATTTCAACTTTTCTTATACATGTTTGGGATCAATGTTGATGGGTTTAATTTTTTTGTTTTAGAACGTATTAATGTAAAAGGATAAAATATCCAATAATTAGAAACTTTACAATTGTAACGCCTACTTCTTATCTCTAAAAGTGTTGAATGATTACCTTATTATTGCAGTGTCTACTAATTTTTTTCTCAATAAGTGTAACACTATAAAGTGTTATAGAAGTAAATATCAAATTTTTTGTATTAGATATACAAGTATAAGAATTATTTGTTATCTTTGTAAATCCTTCAAAATGTAATATACATTTTCAAAATTGTGTATCACAAAAGCATTTTAAAATTTATAATGAATTTATATTGGAATTTAAATTCATTTATGAGAAAAAATATCAATGTGCTTCGATCTTTATTTAAAAGAAGGTTTCAAATTTTTAAAATTTATACTCAAAATTTATTTACCACAACAACAACAACAAGCCTTTACCCCACTAATTGGGCCTATTTATTATCATATTTTCATTTAATTCTAATAGATCAAAATCAATTTTTACTATATTTGCCTTTCTTAACATAAGTCAAATCTAAAACATCTACTCTCCTAACTAGATCATCAGATGGTCGACGTTTAATGTGATCAAACCATCTAAGATGACTCTTTAATCTTGTCTGTAACTGAAGCTACATAGATTTGTTTCGCATTTTATCTTTAATTGTCAAGCCACTCATCCATCTAAGCATTCTCATCTCAGCGGCACTTAACTTTGTTTTATGCTTCTCATTTAAAGGCCAACATTTTGCACCATAAAGCATTGCAGGTCTCACCACCATCTTATAAAGTTTTCCTTCAACTCTAAGCAGACCTAGTTCATTCCTCCACTTCAACCAACCAACCTAAATTCTACTAATAACATCCCAATTTAAATCACTATCACTTTGAATAATACACCCGAGATATCTAAAATGTCCACATCTTTTAATGATTTGATCACTAATAGTTACAACTTTGTCGCTAGAGCTACTACTACTAAAATTACATTCCATGCATTCAATTTTAGATCTACTCAAATGAATGCCTTTAAACTCCCATTTACACCTCCATAATTTAAGTTTTTCTTGAACTATTTCTCTAGTTTTATCCAAAAGAAAGATATCATCAGTGAAAAACATACACCAAGTTACATCCTCCTGTAAATTTCCATTAAGAACATCCATAAATAAAACAAAAACCCTTTTTAATCCAACTGAAATAGGAAAATACTTGGGTCAATCCTCCTGTTTAAACACCAGTAACAACTCTAGTATACATATCTTTAATGACTAGAATATAAGTCATATCAACACCATTCTTTTCTAAAACTCTCCAAAGAACTTCGCTGGGAATCTTATCATAAGTTATTTCTAAATCAATAAAAATCATATGTAGATTCTTCTTGCTCTCTCAGTACTTCCCCATCAAACATCTCAACAAGTGTATAACTTCCAGATAGACTTGCCCGACAAAAATCCAAACTGATTATGAGAAATCTTTGTATCACTTCTTAACCTATGTTGAATTACACTTTTCCATAATTTTAAAGTATGACACATTAACTTAATTCTTCTATAAATTGCACACTCTTGTGCATCCCCTTTATTCTTAAAAATGGTTACCATAACACTCTTCCTCTACTTCCTGGGCATTTTCTTAGTTCTTCAAATAATATTAAAGTTTTCAGTGAGTCAAGAAACTCTCAAATCTACTTTAATTGAGATATCATCAGGTTCTAGTGATTTTCTACCCTTGATTTTCTTAAAGCCTCCTCAACTTCCTTTTTTCAAATGCGATGGTTAAAATAAAATGTTTTATTATTATTAAAGCTATTAAGATCACTAAGGTCGATTGCATTTTCAGAAACTTTATTGAAAATTTTATAAAAATAACTTGCCCACTTATGTTGAATATTTTACACTACGAAAATTAATTTTTGATTTTCATCTTTAATACACTTTACTTGAATAAAATAAATAAATTTTAAAATAGAAGTTTATATTTTCTTTTGAGTTAAAAAAAATTGCCTTTTAAGATAAAATTTTTTTGTGCTAATAAAGCTTAAAACCTATTTTAGATTTTTTTTTTTTATTTTTGTTTATAAAGCTTAAAACCTATTTTAGTTCAAGTTTTGAAGTTCAATTACCTCACATACATGACAATTTAAAAATCAATATATTAAAAATTTTTAGTTGGTTAAAATTAAAAGAATATTCTATTTGTAAAAAAATGAATTTTAAAAATTTTTGAGTGTGCATGACTTCCCTTGGATCTGCCATACATTGTAAATTTCTTTTAATAAAAAAATCTGAGCTAGAGGGTTTTAGCACTAAATCCCCTCTTTTTTTGGGAAATTTCATTTCATACGGATCATTCGTATGTGCGTATGAGTGTATTTAGTGTGCATGTTGGGTGTACTCACCTATTTTGGGTGTAATCAGGTGAGTACACCAAAAATATACCAAAAATACACCCGAATCCACACTTCCGTTATTCGGATGTAATAATTTTTTTTTTTTTTTGTATTCAAACTTAGCTTGAGGACTACTTGTTCATATGGTCAACTGAATGTCAATAAGGGAATGATTCCTCTACTTTGTTATCCCATTAAAACTTGGAGTCCTTGAAACCTTCTAGATTTCCAAACAAGGACTAAGTTAGCCAAATGCTTAAATTCATTTCTTCTTTCTGATCATTTATTTGTTCTGAAATAACAACAAATGTCTGGTTTTCTAGGGAGTTATTGCAGGTCTGCTAGTTCAGAATGCGCTTAAGTTCTTACTGAAGTTTGGAGAAGTATCCCCCTATCTGGTACATTACTCTGAACATCTTGTTATGTATTTTTCAGTTTTCATTGTAAGCGCTCGCATCAGAACTGGTAATCTTTATTTCGTTCTAGCATTGTTTGTCTGTCATACAACATTTCATACAATTAAGCATCTGTTATTTCCAATAACTTTTTATGATTTTCCTTTACAAATACATAAATTTTAATGTTAATTCTTGATTTAGATTCAACCCATTCATCATTTGATTGTTGATAAAGATGCATTTTCTCTCCCGAAAACTTTAGTTTGATTAGCACAAGTCAAATTTTTTCTATAGGGGCATTTACCTATATACCATTTAATTCTTATCTATTTACAGATCTAGCGCCTAAACTTTCATATTTTCATTTACAACACTCAACACTTTAACATCACATCAATCACCATTATTAACTTTTTAAAAGTGAAGTACACCTTTTCATGAATAGATTTGACACAAGTGTTAATTGTGTGGTATTTATGTGAATTTTCCTTTTCTCTATTTTTTGTAGGGATATAACTCCCTAAAAGACTATTTTCCAACCATGGAGATGAGGCCAAATCCCCAGTGTTCAAACTCAGCTTGCATTGAGCGGCAGGTTTTAACTCATTCACTTGTCTGCTTCATTTTCTTAGTTTGATGGATCCCATTTCTGATGAATTATAATTTATTGCCATTTTTGGGTGCAGAAGGAGTATCTCCTTGCAAAACCAGTCAGAGATGCGTTAGCCAAAGCAAAGAATGAAGCTGACGCATCTCTGCAAAATGAATCTCCACTTCATATGGATAATGAGTGGAATATAAGGTAATTTTGCTAGGCTAAGAACGAAAATTTACTATTTTGGCCGTATAGCCGTATCCTTCTAAGAACCAAGGAGCATCATGGTTTTTTATATTTGATATTAGCAAACTTGGAAGGTAGGTTTGTTAATTGATTTGGGCTGCCCATGAGCCTGTTGGGAAGATCCTTCGTAATCATAAATGAAAGAGCTAAATGGTTTCAAGTAGTGTTGGAATGCGTAGCACATTGTTTGTAAATAATGTGAAGAATTCTAAAGGTGAGCACTCACCCTACACGGACAAAAAAACAAAAAAAATCTATTTCAAGCTCGTGAAAGGCTTTAATTTGAATGTCCTTTATTTTGAAGGGTTTAAATGGGTTGACCCATCTACCCTGAAGCCTGAGACAATATCTTAAATGACTTTCTTTCTGGCGAACTTTATCAGGAAGTATATTCTCTTTTGCCACTATCACTAGAGATTAGACTGTCTAGTTCTTGCAACTGCCATCTCTATATCTTGTGGCTGAAAATTGTGTTTGTTTTTTTTTTTTTGAGATATTTGCTAATGTCATAGATGTGCTATACTTGAAATTAAGATTAGAGTTAATTTAAGCCAAATTGGCTCTAATTTTTTTTAATTTAAATTTATATAATTGCTTTATATAAATTTATATATTTTATTTTAATAATAAAATTATTATATATATATATATATATATACTTTTTTTTTTCCTTGTAAACACATAAGAATTTGTTTGGTATGTATTTAAATTTCCGAAATCTTCGATACAATATACTCCTTTTTACAGAGTTTAATAGTTTCCTTTTGTTGCACTATAGTTTCATTTTCTTGTGACTGGTTACCTTCCTCAATCCAAATTCTGAAGCCTAAAGCTTTTTCACTCCTTATCAGTGTTGTAGATGATAGTGAGACAGAAGCATTCAATGCTCCAACAGCTTCAGGTAATTCTGTTTAAATCTATTTAGCCTTGCTGCTGTTGTTTAATTCTGCATCTCCATACCATTCTCTCTCTTCTCAGAGGCACTTCCAGAAGGCTTAACCAGAGAGCTTCCAAGTGCTGATCAACAATATCAGGAGGGTGCAGCATTAGGAGGGACGACGAGCTCGCTATCGGACGATGTCGATCTCGAAGAACTTCAGAGGCAGCTGGATGCCCTCAATGCTTCATGATATCTAAGGGAACAGCGAGTGATTCAGGTAAGATTATTTTATTTCATTTCAGATATTTGGCAGGGAATTTGATTGAGAAATTAGTTCTATTGTGGTAGGGAATTTGATCTAATTTGTACTAAAGAAGTTATATGCTGGGGAATATATATTATATATTAGGGAATTTATGACAATAATAAGTTAGTAGAGTGTATAATGATCATTAATGTTGGATTTTTATTTTTAATAATATTTGATACTTTATTCATTTTAAAGTTTGTGTATAAAATTAAATGAAAGAATGTGATAAAAATATTAAATAAATAATTATATGCATGTTAATTATTATATTAAGTTTTGATAATACAAGTAATATATACTGAATCATATAATTTTAACCAAGGTTTCTAAGCATGAAGTAATAACAGTTTGAATAAAATTTTAAAATTTGGAATGTAAAATAGCAAATAAATAAATAAATGAAAGGACTTTTGCAAGTATGCAAGTAACCCCTATCTGCAAGAAAAGAAATAACAGTTGGACTACCTCCTAAATTTTCATATAAAATTTAACTTTGAGAAAGCCTAGTAAAATTTCGATTAAGTTTGTTTGGGGCAGCTGCAACTTATTGAATAATCGAAGTTTGTTTGGGGCAGCTGCAATTTATTGAATAATTTGCTGATAAACTAATTAAAAATAATCTGCTGATAAGCTAGATGCGGTGACTATTACAAATTTTTATTTTTTTTTGAAAAGAAGCCAGACCGCAGTCAGAAAGCTGCCACCGGCGGTGTGGAAACGCTGTTTTCAGCGTTTTGAAAACGCAGCAGTGTGGAAACGCTGTTTTCAGCGTTTTGAAAACGCAAAAGTTGTCAAAACACAGGTTAACCCAACAGTTCAAGGTAACCAAACAGTTCAAGTGCGTTTTCAAAACGCCACCGCACAAAAATAAGCTGCCCCAAACGGACCCTAAGAAAATGTTTGCTTTATTTTGACTGATTGGATTGATATTCGGTCTAAACTTAGTGATCTAATTTGATAAAAATTTATGTCGGACTATATCAAGAGATGCCATCTTTTGATTGATTAACTGTTGTCACTAGAGCTGTCAAAATGACTCATTGTTAAGTGGTTATATACCCTTTACTAATTTCATTTCATTTGTTAACTGTTGTCACTAGAGCTGTTAAAATCATCTCTAGTAGCACATTCAAATTTTATATAACAACATTCTAAGTACCAATCAAATAAATTCAACATAAAATTTTCTCCCATCATACTTACTTTAACAGGAATATAATAAGTAATCAACATTTTAGCTTTTAAATTTACAAGTCCCAAACACTCTTCACCTAATTGATTTTCATTAAAAGAATCAACATAATAAATTCTTTATCTTGCGCCTTATCTTTAGTCATATTTATATTCTCCAATTCCTCCATGTCTTTAATATCAAGTATCTTCTATTTTATTTTTTAAAAAATATTAATTAAAATAAAAACTACGTTAATAGCCATCACATAATTTTTTTATGAATATTATTTTTTCCTTCCATTTATTACTATTTAATATAGTAATAAATGAAAGGAAAAAATATCCATAAAAAAAAAAAAGGATTAAGGCTTTGTTGTTGTTGTTGTTGTATTTATTAATATTTAATGTGTGAGATATGAGAATTAATATGTGAAATATATAGATATTATTTTAATTTTTTTTTAAAATTATTAATAGCCTAAAAAATTTGACACTCTTTGGGGATAAAGTGCATCATGAGGGGCACCTCAAATTGTGCAAAGTGTACTCCCCTAAGATAATCAAGCATAAACCTCATTCTAATTTTATAAAAATTGCTGAAGCAAATCTCAAGGCGCACCCACATCACACAATTTTAAACATGGGGGGTCTAACATTTAAGGGTATATTTGGGATCATATTTATTTTTATTTTATTTTATTTTATTATGTTTTAATTTAAATCAAAACATGGTTTAAAATTAAAAAAAAGAATAGATGTTTTATAAACTCTCACCACAATTGTTTGTGCTTTTTAAAATATGTGAAAATATTATTATATATATATATATACTAATTGCATAATTAAATAAATATTAAATAGATAATCCAAATATTATAGAGATGAAAAAAGCATGTTTAAGAATAAAAAAAATAAATGATTATCATATTATTTATAAATTAAAATAATAGGTAAAAAATGTAAAAATTTATAAAAGAATTAAATACAAAAAAAATAAAAAAAAATAAAAAAATAACAAAAACTAAAAACCATAATCATCAATAATTTTTTAGAACAACATACAAAAATAAACATATTGTATGGTACAATGAAAAACATCAAAATTAATATTTTATTAATATTTACAAAATTTAAATTTATTTTTTAAGGATCGGACGAGCTAGTAATGTGCCCAAATAAATAAATAAAATATTTTCAGATATTATTCTTCTATCTAACAAAAAAGAGGTAACATAAAGTGTGAATAGGGAAGTGAATTTGAAGTCTAGATTGAAGATGCTCTAAAATCACATCAATTATTATATGATTGAAATAAACCGGTTAGCTAAGTATTGAAATACTACTCGAATAGAGCTAGGAATAGCTCAATGTTTCATCAAAATGAATGTATCTATATATCTATATATATTATGCATGCTTACCTCAGTAGTTTATTTAGAGAGAGAGAACATTAAAATTTTTGTTTGGATCAAATTCAAATGGAATTTCACAAGGATTACGGCGGAGTCTCTAGAATTCATGTAGAGAATGAGATATTAGTGTAGGGCTATAAACGTGCCGAGTTTGGGCGAGCTCAAGCTTGACTCATGCCAGTTCGTTAAAAAATAATTGTTTTAAATTGACTCGTGTTCAATGTGTCCGTATCGGCTTGAAATAAAAAAATATAAACCGCATGATCACAAAATTATGAATATATATATATATTAAAGGAATGATAAGAGGTTATTATAAGAGCCTCCAGTAACTCTTAATATGCCTAACAATTCGAGTACCAAGTCCTTAAAGCCAACTATGCCAGAGGAGATTCGAACCCTCGATTTGAGGGGTCTTATACCGTGAATGCAATCAACAGGCTGGGGTATATAATTTCATTATTTCAAGTTAAAAACAAGTCGATTACAATTGAACAAAAGAATACTAATATTTGACTTGTTTATAATTCAAGCTTAAAAAATTTATTTGCGTTTAGCTCACTTAACGAATGATTCAAATATGAGCTATTTGAGAACAACACCTGAATTGAAGATCTCATTCTCAAATTATTGTACAGAAGAACACAGAGTACACAGAAGCAAGAATTTTTAGATTATCATTTTAACAAGCAACACAAGCAATAATATTACTTAACCTAAACTTCAAAACCAGCAGATGTTGAAATAATATAATATAAAACAAAACAATAATTTCTGCATAATAATATATTTCCACACAATTTAACTCTCTGATTAATATCCTTCATTTTAAACTTACTCTAACTTGAGTGTTATCTCTGTCATTTGGGGGTGGTGTTTCCTAACCTACAAGTTGAATAGTCATTAAAAAAATCCACTATTTCAGACCTTGCCAAGAAAGGAGAACATTTATAAAAAATAAAAAGGGCCTTTACATACATACATACACCCAATTCTTATGTTTTTGTAATACGTCGATAGTCTGTAGGAACAATTGAAGTATAGGTGACTGATATGTCAATACATGGGAATTGGATGGTAAGTATGTAAGTCTCCCAAAAACATAAAAATAGAAAGCAAATAGTACCTTAACGCCTGCCAATGATAATAACTTGTGAGAGGCAGCGTACATAGCTTCTGAATTATTTAATCTTTTCTCAATAAAGTAAATGACTTCTGAGACACCTGACTAAAAAAAATGCAAATATGAGAAAGAATTAGTTTTTTGTACATTCATGAAGTAAAAAACGAAAAAGAATCTCTAATTTTTGTCAGCAATAACCTGGATGATAACCTTGGCGCATTCGTTACAAGGAAACATGGTGACGTATAGTCTCTGCAAGAAAGGTAGTTGATGGATTACTTTAAACACTGCCGTTTCGGCAAATGAAACATCAATCAAAATGAAAAATCATAGACAAATTCCCATATAATTTATAAGTATAGGAAGCCATGACGGACGTATGAGACGATCAAGCAAGATTTATTAGTTATTAACTCAATATCTATACATGAATGACATGGCAAGTAGGTATTATATTTCTTGTGCGTAAGCACAAAAAATGTGCTAGACGATTTTGCATAAGCTTTCTTGAATTATTTAGATGAATTAGTTAGATTGATGTATAGAAGCTATTGTCATGTAAGCATAAAAATCTACAGTTTTTTTGTTAAGGAGTTGAAAAGGAATTGAGACAAGTGAGAAGAGGAAAGATGAGATAGAAATAGAAGAGAATCACTAGAAGTGTGTGTATAAAAGTTCAAAATATCATATCAACAAACCGATTTCCTTTTGAGAATCTTTCGAAGTAGTAATTTTCTATTAAAGACATAGAAGAGAATCACTAGAAGTTTGTGTATAAAAGTTCAAAATATCATATCGACAAACCAATTTTCTTTTGAGAATCTTTCGAAGTAGTAATTTTCTATTATTTTTTTATCATCTTCTCTTATTATCTCTGATAACTCCCGATTCATTTTCTCCTACTTATTTTGAGAAACTTGTAGATTCTCCTTTTCTTTGTTAAGCTAGAGTGTACAAAGGTTTTAACAAGAGAGTACATGAACCATTCTATTACACATTCATAATTGTGGCTTCCTTTATGAACTTCTCACTTTCTTGTTGACTAGGCTTTAATCAAGATGAGCACAAATTTTATAATGCTTGATTTCTTTTGCACTTACTTAGTGGTTAATGGTTGTTGTTTCTGGATTGATGTTCATAAAGCATAAAATTCAGTTTACTTTTTCCCTAATAGCTTAAAGCTTTTGTTTGAGAGGAGTAATGACTAATAAGAAACACAGTCACATGAGGAGACAGGTAAGGCATATTTGAGCGTTGGATTTCGTCTAGTGCACGTAGAAATACCAAGTAGTTGACTCTCATCCATAAATTTGGGCTAAAAAATTTTTTGATGATTGGAAGATTTAGCCGAATGTTGAAGTCAATTAAGCTGGGGAAAAAGACTTCTTGAAACTTCTTGAGTTTGTCCTCCTCAAAATTAGGTTCATATGGCCTTTCTATTGATATTAGGAATGAATGGATCACTATGGTATTCAGAAACTAACTTCAATAATAAGTGAATGGAAATATTATATTTTAAGATATCAAAAACATCAATTCAGATATTTAGAGAAAAAAAGTTTACGCACTAACCTGTCCAGCAGCGGATGCATGATTTGTGTTCAGGATGGCATTAACTTCAGCATGTACCACGTAACTGCCAGAGAAACCAAATATCACGCAAACAAGTCGCCTATTTTCTCAGGAATAGAGGATATAAATAAATAAATAAAAGATTTCTTAAAATGCAATATCCTTGACCAAGTTCCTTCGCAAATAAAATTAAATAAACAGAAATATACATACATAGCACCGAATTCTTATACATTACTTATTTCACACCAAAATTTTAATTTTTACAAACAAAGCACCTTTTCCTATGTTTGAAAAGTAAAGAATTTTTTTAAGGAATCAATTCTTTTCCATTCAAGAGTTGGGATTCTATAAAGCCTACAAAACCTTTTACAAATAACCCCTAGACTTCTTCTATAATTTCTATTTACAATTAGACCAATCAAAAAAAAAAAAAACAAATCTTATCACTCCCCCTCAAGATGGGCAAAAGATATCCACTAAGCCCATCTTGTTACATAATCCAGACAAATCTAATGAACTAAGTCCTTTAATGAGCCAGTCAGCTACTTGCTCTCCAGTGGCTATATGACTTAGCTCTAGTACCCCATTATTCAACTTTTCTTTGATGAAGAATCTATCAATTTCCACATCTTTGGTTTTATCGTGTTGCACCGGGTTGTTGGCAATGTTGATTGCTGACTTGTTGTCACACCACAACTTCATTTAAGTTCCTTGATCTACCTTGAGCTGGACCAAGAAGGCTCTTAGCCACATCATCTCGGCAATGGCCCTATACTCTGCCTCTATTGTTGACCTCGTTGCTACAGATGGTTTCTTACTCTTCCAAGAGACTAGATTGCCCCCATACGAACATACAATATCCTGAGAAGAATCTTCCTGTCATCTGCACAGCTTGCCCAGTCAGCATCACAATAGCCCTCAATATTTACATGCTCATTCTTCCTGAAGATCAACTCCTTCCGTGTTACACTCTTCAGCTACCTCAGAATCTGATACACTGCGTCCATATGACTCTTCATAAGATCATGCATATAACGACTCACCATGCACAATGCAAATGAAATGTATGGATGCGTGTGACTCAAATAGATGAGACAACCTACCAACCTCTGGTACTTCTCTCAATCAGCCGGATCTTCTGCCTCTGCACTCAACTTTCCCTTCTGATCATATGGTGAAACTGCAAGCTTGCATCCCAACATGCCTGTCTCTGTGAGCAAATCTAGCAAATACTTCATCTGAGATAGGACAATCCCCTCTGCTCCACGAGCCACCTCAATTCCAAGGAAGTATTTGTCGCAGGTCCATCTCAAACTCTTTGCCCAATTTTGTCTTTAGCAACGCAATTTCTCCCTTATCCACATACACAACAAGTATAGTGGTGTGACCACAATTTCGTCGAACAAACACATGTGGTTGACATCGATCTGCTGATAGCCCATGCCTACCATTGCTCTCGTGAACCTGTCAAAAGCTCGAGGAGACCGTTTCAAACAGTACAATGTATTTCTCAGTCTACATACTTGCCTACTATTTGGTTTGTACTGAAGCCTGAGGGTATCTCTATATACATCTCCTTCACTAGATCCCCATGAAGAAACACATTTTTCACATTCAGTCGTTATAACCTCTATCCACCATTCACAACCAGAGAAAAGAATCTTGAATGTGCTCATCTTTACCACTGGTGCAAATGTCTCATCATAGCCAATGTTATACGTTTGACTATACCCTTTAGCAACCAACTGTGCTTTGTTGCGATCAAGTTTTTCTTCTAAGATCTGCTTCACTGTGAAGAGCCATTTGCACCTGATTGTCTTTTTTCCCTGTTGGTAGCAACGCGAGCTCCCACTTCTTACTCTTCTCGAGAGCACCAAGTTCCTCCAACATGACAGCCTTCTACTTTGGATCCTCCTTAGCGCCAACACTTTGGTATAGAGACAGAGTCCACGATGCAATGAACGCTCCATGCAAACGTGATATATTAGAATAAGAAATAAAGTTCGCAATGTCAAATTCCCGCCCAAAATGAGCAGGATGATGTCCCGCATTGCTACGGAGGCTCTCCTTAACATTGGAGGTTAGGAGTGGACGGAGTAGAAATAATCACCTGGTAGGTTTGAATCAAAAGCGGATGGTGTAGGTGTCTCAAGACTTGGGGAAGATTGAGACAAGGGACTTATTAGCACAACAAACTTTGTTCTTTCAGTTTGCTTTTTCCTTTGTCTATACACCCTTAGTTCACCTTCAGCCTGAATCACACCACCTCTGGGTTCAATCTCCTCGATTTTCGTCTGGTTAATTGATTCATCCCACATTACAGGGCATGCCATTGATCCCACTTACACCACTCCATCACCACTACTACTCACTCTCTCTTGCTTCATATCTTCAGTCAGTGTCCGTTAAGTCACATAAGGGTGAATCCATATTCAGAGTGTAGTATGGTTCAAACTCTCTAAATGACAAATCCGAACTCACAAAGAGTTTTTTCTCAATCAAGCTCCGACAAACATAACCTTCTGAGTAGTAGAATAACCCACAAACATACATTTCACAGCTCTGAGATCCAATTTCCGTCCAAACGGTGTGTTGTCTTTCAAAAAGCATACACATCTAAATATCTTCAATGGAAGGATCTCACTGTTGCCTCTTTTCAATATCTAACAAGGAGACTTCCACTCCAACACTTTTGAAGTAATCCTGTTAATCAATTGAGCAGCTGTCAACACTACGTGCCCCCATACGTGTTGTGGGATAGTCATTGTCATCATCATGCTCTGAAAGTTCATACAATCCGCTTTGCCTTAGTCCGTATGAAGCCGCAACCCCTCTATCCCGCACGCAAAACCACAACCTCTTTAATCCTTCACCTCCATGTTTTCAAGTGGAACTCCAGAAACAAAGCCCTGCTCTGTTGCCTTTCTAACTTCTGAGCCGCAAGTCCACGTTGTTTCGTACGCAGCAGTCCCTTGGTTGCCTTCTCAGTTAGCTCTAATTGCGATTGTATCCTTCGGGTGACGTTGCAATCTCGTTTCCACTTCGCAAGAAGGTCGCGATCAGCAACAAGCCGCACTCCCCTTTTTCAGATGAATGAATGAGAATCTTGCTTCTCAGACTTCGTAGTTCTCCTCCCTGCTTTGCTCCAGAGGCACCAAGCCGCACTCTGTTTCTTATGCGAACAGGTGAAAAATTAGGGCCGACAAAAGCAAGCCGTGACGGAAGCAATAACAGGATCGCAGCGCACAGGGACCACCGAAGCTACCGTCTTTCTCGTCTTCCATTCTATCCTCCCTCCTCACACTGGTAAGCCGCAACCTATGGTAGTTTCACAATATTGATCGTAGCTCACTGTAACAAGGCTAGAGTTTGGGGCACTGATACCATAAAGAATTAATTGCTCTGAAAAAGTTACCCATTCTATTAATGATTTGGCTTATATAGAACCTTACAACATTTATAAATAAATCAAATAAAATCCTACACTAGATACAAATCTCAACAACATAGTAATCTTTGAATTTTATAGAGTCAAACTTCCTACCATTGGCAGATCATATACACATATCTTGTCTCCAATATTATTCACTCTCAAGTTCTTCCGCTTCATAAAAGCAATAAACACATCATATTTATTCAATCAAAGTAATGCAATACAAGAATACCCTTAAAAAATTGAGGATGGGCCCCATACATCAGTCTGTGCCAACTCCAACCTTATGGATATAAGCTCTCTCTTGATTATTGAGAAATTAACCCATCTGTTTTTTTTTCTTAGAACACAAGCTAAATAAAAAGAAAATTCAACAGATTTCAAGCATAAAATTTTATGTTTAATGTAAGGAATTTAAGTCTTTTTTCACTAATATAGTCTAACTTTTAGAGCCATAGATTTGAACTTGATTGTGCATTGGTGGCAGCATCTACTATCTTGTGTTTGTGTTAATGTAAAGAACATTTGCTTGTCGAAAACACATAAAAGCTTGCCTTCTAGCAGGTTGGAAAACTTTTTCCCATTTTTTAGAGTAAGCACACTATTTTTGATGTGCCTTAATTTGCATTTTGTTTTGTGATACATCCACTGTTAAAATTGCGTAAGTTCAATTTTAGTGCTTTTGTTGATAGGGCAACTATCATTATAATGTGCATACAGTTAGAGTTCATTTAATTGTATTTCAGTCACTTGCAACACAAACATGTTACCTTTGTTCATTTACAAATTTATTTATATTTGTATGCCTTGAAAGTTATGAGATATTCTTGAAATGATTGTATTTTATCCAGATTTTGTTTGTCAGCGCTTAAACATGTTCCATAGAGAAAAATCCACTCTAATAAATGAATGAATTATGTGATAAATTTCATATTCAATTTCAAGTCCTTAACATTCTATAAGGTGGCAAAGCTTGTATTCATTGAAAATCTATCAAGGTTCATATAATTCTTTTATATTGTACAGAGTCATCATTTTCTCACAACAATAATTTTAAAATTATTTATTTTCTCATTTTATATTATTTTTACTAACTCGATTCAAATTTTATCGTGTCATTTTCCTGACAATTATTTCTATTTTATTTTTGTAAGCAAATTTAGAGGAAATTTCAGTGACACTTCTGCATCACCCTTGCATAGAGTGATCTTCAAATCGACCGCATTAAAAGAAAAAGGCAAGCATAGAGTTACCCACATACAAAAACTAACAAGTGCAATATAATTTTCCTCCTTGTACCAAGAAACATACACACAATGCTTACCCTTCACATCAAGAATGAGACACACGAGATTCCCCGACATGTCAAGAAGAAAAGCACACAAGTTCCACTCATTGTTTCATACAATATGTTAATGGGATTTGTTTAGAGTGATGAGCTCGTTATTGTACCTTCTATAAGATGATGGAAAAATTAGGAAAAGAGGATTTGGTTCTCTGCCCTTGTTTTGTACTTTTTTAATATAGAAAAGTATAGATAATGTGAGAAAAAACAAAAAGAAAAGTAGCTAATGGGATGCTGACAATTGAACGCACAATTGCATTAGTTAAAGTTTGGAAGATGACCAAGAAAAAAAAGGCTTCATGGCGTGTTGCGGTAGTGAGGTTTCACTGCAAGTGTAGATAAGAAATGATGATTATATTTATGCACTGCCACTCACCTTACTTTTATTTTTTATTTTGAATTTTTCCTTTTCCTGTGTTTGATGTTAATATTTCTTATTGCTTTAGAGCATATTTTGAAGTCTGATTCTATGCACAAAAATTTCTAAGGATTCACAAACACTGAAAACACACTTAAAAATGTCCATTTCATTGACAAGAAAACTTTCATCAAGAGAGAAACTTGCACCTAATGGAGGTTAGGGCAGACAACGTCCACATTGAGTGAAGAGAGGGTGTCGATGTCGAGAGAGGAGAGGATGCATCAAAAGTTGGAGAGTCAAAACCCTATGTTTGGTAGGATAATTTTAACAGGATTTAAGTTAGATTTAACTTAAATCTAACTTAAATCCAACAAAACACCATAAATAAGTTAGGTAAATCAGCAGTTAAGTTAAATCCAATTTTTACCTAGTTTGTTTATTAAATTTAGATTTACAAAATCCACTTATTAGTTGGATTTAACGAATTTATCGTGGGGAAAGAACATTTGAAATGAATTTATGTCAAACACCTCAAATGAATTTAACTGAATTTAACCTTAATTGAACTAAATATTATTTTGAATTTAATGATATTTAGATTTAATAAATCCAAATTTACCGAATTACTAAATCCTATTTAACTTAAATTCTCCTTACAGCCAAACACCCCATAGATGGTAGTCGGGGGAGTGAGAGAAAGGGAACGGATCAAAGGAGATAGACGGGTGATAGGGAAAGTGGGGGAGAAAATTAGGTATTAAGTAAGAAAATAAATATAAAATTTATTTTTAAAAATAACTTTTTATAAACCTTTAATTCACCATGTCCATTTTATTTTTAATATGATTTTAATTGGACATGTTTTGACTATGTCCGACAAAAGTTAAACATGTGTTGGGAGCGTATCAGTATCCGACACATGTGCATAACTCATCAATCCAAAAAGTTGATAAAGATGAATGACCATCACGACCTCAAATCCAAACAAATACTTTGTCGGATCCATCGGTGCCTTGTAAAAGCCAAGATGAGAAACTTCAAATTTTTTAAATAACAAACCCTTTGTGACATACTTAAGTAATTGATAGTACAGTAATTAATGCAACACCTTAGTCATTCTTTAAGAGAGAAGAAAATCGCTCCAAAAAAAATTGCTCAAGCTCATCGCCGACTTTTTGCATTTAGCCATTCGATTGTACAAAATTGATCCAGTCAAATGAACATTTAATAAATGCATCTTCCTCTTAATAGAAAATGGGCTAAATTACAAAATATTCCCTAGACTATTCACATGTAGCCAAAGCACTCCTAAAGTAGCATATTTATTCAAATTAGTGAATCATCTATACAAAATTGATCCAAAAGGATCCTTCAAGAATTAAATTGAGATCAATTTTGTAAGTCAAGGGCCTAAATTGAGATCAGTTTTGTATCATAATTTCTAAAGGAGGGGACATTTTGGATTGCTTTTATATAGTTAATGGAGTAAATTGTAGTCTGAAAATTTGAGACTAAATTGCCCTCATAAAAATAATTGAGGGATAATTCTAGGAATTTCGCATGTGGTACATTTCCACACAAAACTGTAAATGGCTACGAAGTTACATTTTATCTTAGTTAAACTCAGTCCAATTCATGTTTCTAAGAATAATTTATTAAATTGAATTCAACTCTTTAATCTAAAAGCATAAAGGTGCACAGTTTTGTGATGACTTGATTAAAAGAAGGATATAATGCATTATTTACCAAGTGAATAATAAGTCAGAAAAATTATGACCAGTGCTATAATAACATGGCATTCCATAATTAAGTTTATCAGGTCAATCTGATTGCTAAGATTTGGCATTTTAATCTAGCCTTAGCAGACACATATCATCTTAACTGTAAGATTAGCCAACGAATACAATCGTGAAGATTAGCCTTTTCTATTGTCTAACAATTACATAAGTTACCACGCCGTTAATTCTGATTATTCTCTTTCTACAGTACTCTTAAATGCCATTCCCTTTTATTATGGTTCCAAAGTTAAACAAAGATGCAAATTAACACATCAAATCTCTATGTCAAACGGCATGGGCCAGAAATATCACATATTAGCATAGTAATCCAAAATCAGTAATTAAAATTTTAAGGAAAAAAAAACACAAATAAATAGAATGACAATGTAAAGGGCCAAAAGAAAAGTAAAAAGCAACTCACGGATACTTTGTTTCCAAGTGATCTCCGTTAACAGACATCTGTTTTAGGGAGAAAATAACATTACTTCAAGTGGATTAAATCGGACTGCAATATAATTTTGACATTTTGGAAGGTGCAGGAAATTTTGAAATTTTACATTCCACTGTTGAAAAATTAGTCTTTTCTCGACAAAGTAGCCTCATGTGTTATAAGAACACAGCTAGTTGGGTAATCTCAAGAGCCAACCTTTGCCCAGGGTAGCTTGTCATCAGAGCAACCTCTTGGAAATCCATTGTACCCAATTCCTGATAAAGAAAATTAAGATAATAAAAACCCTACAAACCCATTAAACAAACTTGAGTTGATACTTGGCAATAGTGGCAAATATTTGTACTGGAAAATTGCAAGTACATTATAAAACTCTTATCATTCCTTTAACAGTAAAATAGTGAAATAAAACAATAGAATTCTCAAGGCTGCCTTTGAACAACAGTTTCATTATGAGTGTTAATTTGAAAAGCTAAAAGCTCAAAATCCACGAGATTACGTAGGATTTGCTTCAGCAAGTTTACAGAAGGGTGCTTCTGAAAGCATTATCAACAAGTACAGAATACATATCTAATAAAATCATTAAACCGTCATTACAAAAAGCTGCAGCAACAACATAATCAGCCTTAACGCAAATACTTGGATTCAACTTTATGAGTCTTTTTTTCGCCGTATATTCCTTCTCAAAGAAGCATTTGGCATTAATTCGAGTTTAGGTGGAAACTTTGAGCACTCTACGAAGTTAAGCTTTCTCCTTTCCATTCTAATCCTTCCACATTAAATCCATCTCATTGCCTCCTGCAGGCATATAGGCACACACACACGTGTATACAGTTGCAGTATGATCATATTACTATAGAGAAAAGTGTCAAGGTAGTCGCCCAACTCTTTACACACAGCCATTTTAGTCCCAGAGCTTATAAATGTGTCAATTTAGTTTAGCCCCAATTTAAAGAGTTTGGGAACTAATTTGGCATTTTTATAGACACTAGGACAAAAATGACACCACGTAAATAGTAAGAGACCACTTTGGCGTACTACTCTATTACTATATAGCTATAGATAGTTCCCATTCTTATGAAATCACGGCTTAACATGCACATGCCTTGCCTAAGCACGATCACTTGTGAGTTGTACTTCTTTTGGGATCCAAACTGATTGTGGGCATTATTGGTTCCCAAAACCAGCCATGATAGCTGACGCTTGAACTTGATATCCATATATGATTGAAATCATAGCTTAACAAGATTGGCTTAGCGGAATAAATGACGAATGCTCCATTATATTGCAACAAAAGATACCGACGCGTTGAGCTGGTATTGAATAAAACCAAACCATCTGGTCCCAAAATGATATAACTAATATGAATAGGGCACTGCTCACTTTTCACAGCTTCAACCTTCTTAGACGTTGCAGGTCAAAAGAAAAAAAATAAAGGAGCATAAGCAGCTGCTCCTTTGCAGGAAAATAAATGAAAGAAAGAATGGAAAAAACTTACCCAAAATTATTCCAGTTTGACTTACTAGGCATGCGCCAACCTACAATACAATAAATGAGTATTAAATGGATAGGTAAACACGAAACATAAGCAAAAACAGATGTAAACAAAAAGGAATAGAAGACTGAGCCCAAATAAGTAAACTACAAAATTGGAGCATTTTGTCATTTATAAACAATCGGATGATCACTCTTTATGTATTAAAAGGTACAGCCATATAAGACTTCTTAAAGGTAAGTGAAACGAAAATATTGAAAAAAAAAGTCAAAACCATTCAATAAAGAAGTTATCTTTTCAGCATGTGAGCTTCAACAACAAAGAAAAACCAATTGTTGAGCCCCAGCACTCATCTGACTCGAAAAATGTCTTTTGAATCAACATCAGACATCGATTTGAAAACATGTCGCAAATTGTCCTAATAAAAAACCCTTATGTGTGACTAAATCCAAGGAAAGGTGAATTGCACAATTCAATGAGAAAGAGAATGTGTATTTTCTTGGGCAAGTGGATAGAACCAGATATTAAGAAAAGATCAATTCCATAGAACAATTAAATGAAGGAGGCATGAGTGAATTACTAAATGTGGAGAATATATTCCCTAAAATATTTGGATAAGATTTGACTTTGGTTTTAAGATTGGTGGCTATGAAATTCAATATCTATTATGCATAATTAATATTCACATCTATTATTTCATACAGCCATATTAAAGGGGAAAGAATCGATAGTTGCATGACATCCACAACAAGAAGTAACAAAGAGATGAGAGAAAAAGAAAGAGATAGGAGTGGGGGTGTGATAAAGATTATGGCCGTGGCTCAAGGCAGAGTGATAATAAACTTTTTCCAAAGAATAATAATATAAATATCGATACAAGTAGTATCTCTAATGAACCAATCAAAGGCGCGAGCCACCAAGAAGCTTCACCTTTCATTGCATAAAAGTATTATCTTACATAATTTCAACCAAAGAGCATTTAAAACTACTTTCTAATACAAAAATATTATATAGTTTTAACATTTCTATTACAATTTCATGAAATAAGAAAATACATAAATTCCTTTTAAGGATGGTCACTTCATTGGTTCATATATTCCCCCGTGACGGATTACTGACTATCGAGTACAGAGTGACAAGTATAGACTACTAAGTACGACTTGTCAAGTACTAACTATCAAGTATAGTTGTCGAGTACAATTTGCCAATTAATACCAACTATAGAGTATAAATTACAAATACCAACTGTCAAGTACGATTGCCAACATGGCCAACTACTTGCCACAGTCTGAGCAGAAGTTTGAACATTAATTATCTAATTATAATCATTAAAAATTAATCTAACTTTCTAATTATCACAAGTAAATGTTATTCTTTTCATTAATATTCTAAGATATATTAAATATAAATATATTTTAGCTGTCAATCTTTCCTTACTAATAAATTTCATTATTATGGTAACATAATAAAAAAATGTTCTAACCTTATTGCTCAATGGGTTCCTCTCCCGAAAAATCATTAATGTTCTTTGCTCGACACTATTCAAACCCATGCAAGTTGGCTCCTCTCTACAATTCAATTCGGCTAGGGTTGCACACCTAAGGTATGTTCTTGCTTACGCACAGGACTTGAGCGCTTCCTACTCTCTCCTCCTTTTTTCCTTTTTCTCTCATCTATCTCCATCTTTCTTCACTCAGTTAGGGCCCGATTTCTCCTCGATGAGAGCTTAAAAGCTCAGATTTCCTCCTTCCGCACACAACAAGCCTCAATCTTCCTTCACCTTCCTTCTTCTTTGCTCGTCACGCTCTGGGCCTTCGACAACACACGAAAGTTGAGTTACTCGCCTCCTTACTTCCTATTTATGCTACTCACAATTGACCAAAAAAGTCCAAGATTGATTGAAGAAGTCCAAGATTGATCGAAGACGTCCAAGGAGGGCTTGCTTAAGCCGCTCACAACCATCGACAAGCCGCTTAAAGAAATAAAGATGCTCCTCCTCCTCCTCCTCGTTCTACTCACATATAGCTCTTTTAATCGACTTGGGCCTCTCAAATTTTGCCTTACGTGAAGGTTTGCTTGCATACGCTTCTCCTTTCTCTGCTTCTTACTCCATATCTTTCACTGTCACTTTCTCTCTGACTCTTTTCTATCATGTAGTGGTTCAAATGAAAAGAGCAACGATAAGCTTTTTGTTTAACATCAACGGACGACATGTCTGGTTCAAACGAGGGTGTTGTAAGGAAATTATTATTATTATTATTTGTTTTTATTATTATCACAATCTGCCCTCCTTATATAAAATTCGTCATTGAAATTTGCTAGTCTACCCCAAGCCTCAAATCATTGCAGGAAAACATGAACTATCCATAAATTTTCATTAAGAAGTCTAGATCTCATTCATTAACATAAGTAATGGATATAATAAGCAGATGTATGATACAAGATAGCTCAATTAAACTTTCCCAACTATCTAAAATAAGATAACAAAAAAAAAGATAGCATCACATCTAACACAACATAATATAACTAAAATGACACACAATAGCTGAAGTTAGAGCACACTATGAAGTTGTCTCCATAACATAAAATGAAATAAAATAGTCATTAAACCTTATTAGCATCAACATTCACAACAGTAGGTTCTTTAGGCTCACTAAGAGTAAAAGTATAAACTCGCGATCGAGTTGGTTGTCATGGTTGACCTTTGGTAGGAGATAAAGTTACTGACTCTATCCTTCTTTGCCCACCCACCCGGTTTCTATTCTTCCAAGGTTTTCTGGCCAAGTGAAGGGCAATATCTAGTTATGTGACCGGGCTCGCGACACCAATAGCATGTGTTGGAGCTCATCAAACATTTACCTTTATGCTATATTCTATATTTGAGACAAGTGACTAGAGTACTTTGAGTAGAACCTCTACTAAAACCACTTGAGTTGAACTTGGGCTTCTTCCCCATAAATCTCTCTGATTGATCCACATGCTCTCCTTCATCAATATTCTTCCTTTTACACATCTCCATTCGCTTTTGAGTAAGCTGATAATCAATCTCCACTCATCCAACCCACTCCAATAACACTGAGTATTCATTGCCTTCAATCCGAAAAAAAACTCGCAATATTTTTACTCGAGTATTCATTGATTGCTAAAGGCACCAATGGCTATCTGATTGAATCCTTCAATCCGAAAAAAAACTCGCAATATTTTTACTCTGCAGTAGTGATCCCCTGTATTGCATATCTCAATAGTGCAGTGAACTATGCTTCACTGCACAACTGTCACTCTCCCTGCACCAATCTAATAAACTTGTCCTGCATCTATCTTTGAGCAAATAGATGAACAAACCACTCTCTAAAAAGCTCCACAAAATCAACTCAGTTTACCATCATGTTGGGTATGTCCCTTAACATGTCCTGACGTTGCCCACACCACCACCGCTCAGCTTCTCCATCTAGTATAAATATAGCTAACGGTACTATTCTTTCATCTGGACATGTCATGGTGTCTAGTATTTTTCTATCCTCATCAACCAGTTCTCCGTTTCAAGCGAATCTTCAGTTCCCTTGAACAAAGGTGGACACAAATCTTAAAATATCTTTATATATCTACATCAATTGTATTACTCCCAACAATTGTGTTATGGACTCCTAAATCAACTGTCATCGTCGTCATCATTTGGGTCAGGGCATTTGTGTTCACATATACAACAGACGATACTTCTTCATTTTCTAACAAACTCCTTCTATAACTTATGGTGTATCAATTTGTCTTCATTAACATTAATTACTTAAAGTTAACTTAAATTTTTAGTTTTATTATTATTAATTACTTTATAATTATCCTATAGCTCTTTAATTAAAATTACAATAATTAATCATAAACCTTTCTCTGATACCACTTTTATCACGATCCAACCTAAGGCAATGAATTGACTAAGACGGATATAGACGGTTTGACGGTGAAAATTAAATTTTTCTGTATTCATTTTTCATAACTAGCATTTTAATAATGAAAAAGTCAATATAAGAAAATAATTAAAGTAATATAGTTAAATTTACATAATTTTTTATTGTATGCATCTTCGATAAATATTTCATCTTCTATCCATAATGTTTTAATCAATTAATTAAATCTAAAATGTTTTAAAACAACATTAAGCTAACTAAAGTCAGTGAATACTCATACTCTTAAACTGTAATAACATGATGAAAATGAAACTAATATATATGTCAGTTAAACTTTATGTAAATCAATCTAAAGAGCATTTGAAAATTGTACTATTTAACCGGATCATTGAAGGTGATTTTAAATATTTACTATGTCTTACGATATTGCTTACGGATCAATATATTTTTAGTTTGTAAACAACAATCATAGAAACACCGTCTAAATTTATACCAATAAAAGTGCATCAATATCAATATTTTTCATTTACAGCACGGGTAAATTAACATTTTCTACTAGTACCAAAAAAAGGGTGAACTCCATCATAATCAAGCAAGCACATGAAAACATACAATGAAAATTATCATCTTATGATAATTATTTCATTCTCATTTGCATAGTCGTTAATATACCTTTACAACATTTAATATCTATGATAATCTAAATAATAATGAGTACATATATCATTTTAACATTATTAAAAAAAATCAATAAAATCATAAATCATGAGTTTGTAGCGATTTCAATATAACTAGTGGCAATAACAATAATGCATTTGATATAGAAGAAACAAAAATATTACTATAGCATAAGAATAAGTACTCACATGATACAAAAAGTGTAAATAGAAATCCTCACTTTTGATGTTGCAATTAACTCTTCAAATTGTTATTTCCTATAGGTGAACAAAAATAAAGTATATAATGCATTTAATTATATAATTACAGTCATTAAACATTAATCTAACTTTTTAATGATCACAAGTAAATTTTATCATCTTCAATAATATTTTAAGATATACTAAATATTCATATACTTTAATTGTCAGTTTTTCCTTACTAATAAATTTCATTATTATGGTAACAAAATAAAAAAAATGTT